GCATCTTAATACATGACAACCAATCAATACTTTTACTATTACCTATAGCCTATCCTAACTACTAACATTATCATATTCATGTTACTATTTCTAATCACAAAAAGTTAGTATGTTACAGTTTAAGATAGAAGTTGTTTTTCAGTTTTCTTTCAGTGGAAAATTCTGAGATCTTTTCTCTATTTGCAACATTGGCTTTCTTGTTTGTCTGTGAAAATCTTTTTGCTTAGTAAAAACATCTTTTGTTTGAGGTGGATTTATCCTTTTCTCTAAGTCATAAAATCCCCTTCCAACTCACTTGCTCTTTTCCTTTTAGTTACCCAGTAAGACTGGCTCAGCAATTCTTTTCTTCTATATCGAAACTTGCTATCATTTCTCTTCCTTCTTCAGATTCTACATTCAAAGATCTTTCTGTTATACATTCATACATATCGGTGAGATCTTCCTGTCAAATCCTTATACTTCCCAACACATGCCTTCTCCATTCCTCATGGTATTTCACCATGTTCTTGTCTCCCTGTGGACCACTAAAAGGGCATAGCAGTAGGGCAGAACCTTTAGAAACCTCCCACTGTGAGACAAGAGACCATAATTGTCCAAGCAAAACTGAAGGTGAAGATGAGCCCAGCGTACTTGGATTATTTTAATAGACTTATCTAATGGATTCCCTTCCTTTCAGTTATCACTTCTGCAATGCTACACATCTTACACGGAGAGTGACATTCTCTCGATTATACAGCATATGGCAAATAATAATATGAACAAGTGTGCTGCCAAGAAAAGGTAAGAATCTCAGGGTGCAGGGATGTGGGGGGAATATGTGTGGTTATGTGGCACACTGAGGCTGGTTCAGTTGAGTCACTGCAGACAAACTTAAATAAGATCTGCTCATTTCTGAGCTGAAGAGCTTTATCTTGTTCAGGTGGCATGGACCATCCATGAACGGGCTTTGTGTACTAGGATGGGCCTGGCTTGATCACCAAGCCTTAAGTAACCTGAAACAGTGTTAGTGAACACAGTAAACATAATCAACCTTATTTCTCTGCAGGCAAACATGAAGAAATATGCCACTGATGCCAGAATTATTTTTGCTCTTATACTTCCTTCATATGCATTCGTAGCTCTGTCCAATATTGTTGTACATAGTTCCTAGCTAGCCCCAGTACTTCTCCCACCTTTTCCCTACCCTGATAGCCACAAAGACAAAACACATTCCAGAGGCTCCAAACCCTGGAGGTCCAAGGCCCCTATCTTATCTTGGTTCTTCCTGGGAGACAAGGTTGAAGCCAGCTCTTTGAGACACATTTTCAACCACAAAGTTTAGCTCCTATCTAAGAGCAGGGAGGGAGTGGGAGAGGATTCAGAGAGAGTTGAACAGGTGGGAATTACTTCATAACTTGTGCTTCTAATTGAGAATTCTTGTCATTTATGCTGATTTGCCAAACTTATAAAACTATATATACATCCCAGAGGGGCTGCAATTTTCCATGTCTGTCCCTGTAGGCCTCCAATAAAGACCAGCCTTTATATTATGTCCTATAATAATATTGCCTCAAAAGTGTGTTGATTCATTTCTAGGTCTTTAAGGCATCACCACCACCACCAACATCAAGATGAGCACCATTGAACAGTTATACTTTCCTATTATGTGGGATCTGGCTAAAATTTTTTAACTCCTATAAGAACTTAAGCAGAATGCTCTTCACTGTATATACAAAGTACCTTATTTGTATTAAAGTCATTAAAGCTGTTAACATTCTTTGTTTAGTTGGGTTTTCTTGGTGGGGAGGGCAGCACAGTTGCCTTCCTCCTACAGCTGAGGCATCTTCATGGAGCTTGTGACCAGTGCTGAGAGCTTGGGTGAGCTCTGGGGCCAGCTCCGATGCTGTGGCTAATCATGCAGGGTGATGTATGGACAGGAGCATTGTACTGACATGAGCTCTTCTAGCTCGGTGGTGGACTGATTAGATTTGGGGGCAGCAGAGAAAACAGCTGTGTGAGGTGGCTCAGCATGGTGGCAGAGCTCAAAGAGGAAGGAGAAAGTGCTGAGGACTCTAGGAGATTGGCTGGTGGAGCTGTACTCTTCCTTCCCTTAGACCATTACAGAGGCTGCCCAATGTAGTCAGATATTGGGAATATGCTGTCCAGAGTGGTGGAGGGGTCACCATTGTGATAATTGATAAAAGATTCATGTTAATCACCAAAATATTGGGGTTTGTATAAACCAGAATACTAAGATCTGAAGTATGGGCCCTAGATAAAGCAATATATATGATTAAATCATTCTGGTTTAAATCACCTTGTTATGAATATTATGTTTTCTAAATAAGTTGTATCTACTACCAGCTTGCAAAATCAGACTTCCCAATAGTCCTACCTACTTTTGTTTGATCAATGCTGCCTATCTACAAAGACCAGACTTCCAGAACTTTGCTGGTGGTTATCTACAAAGACCAGATCTGTGAAACTGACTATCGCCAGAGATTTTGTGAATTTCTACAAGGATGTTTTTTCGACCATCACTGCTTACCTGGAAAAATTATGACAGCAAAAAAAACAAAAATTATTGATTACAACGAGAGACTATACTATAAGAAGAGGCTGCAAACCAAGGTTCGATGGAGTGGGGAGTGGGGAGTGACCCCTCACATTCCCCAGCGCTGCTTGAACCATCTATATCAAATAAAGCAATCTAAATTTTGTAGAATATCGAGACTTTTGTTTCTCATTTATAACACCATCCCTAGGCATGTAAAAAAAATGTGTTAATATTTTGAGGTCATGGTTTAAAGGTGAACAGGATCTTTGTGCTGGGCTGACAGCTGCATTTGCTCTTAAACCCAAATAAAGTCTCTGGTCCATGCAGTGGCTCTCTTTACTTAGTGTTTATTTTTTGCAGTCTGTTTTTTACTCCCGTTAGTAGCTTGCACCCATTGCTTCTATCTCCACGCGAACATTAGGTCAGAGGGAAGGATTATTGCGCTTTACATAGTGCTGTACCAACGTTATTTTTTTCCCCCCCTGCATCTACTGCAAGAAACCCGCTGAGGGCCGGGGCGCCGGGGCCGAGCGCCACCCCAAGGCCGCTGCTGTGCGCAGGCGCGGGGCGCGCGGGCCGCCGGGACTGCGCGGTTTGAAAGTGAGGCGATGGCGGCGCTCACCCAGGACCGGACCCTGGCCCCGGACCCGGACCCGATCCCGACCCGGACCCGGACCCGGACCCGTGCCCGGGACCCGGCCCCGATCCCGACCCTGACCCCGGCCCCGATCCCGATCCCGACCCGGACCCGTGCCCGGGACCCGGCCC